TATGACAAAAAATGGAACACACCAGCAGTGTGTGAGGAGACCTGAAAGTGGCACATGGCAGAGTGTGGCGATGGAGACAGCAGCAATGGGAGGCCGTACAGGGACCCATGAGAGACTCTGGACCTGGCATGCAGCATGAGGAGGCGGTATATAGGGGCCTATGGCAGATTAGGGGCCTGGCAGCAGCTATAGGAGGCCCGTAATCTGCCAGCACCCTATGTCAAAAAATCAACACACCAGCAGTGTGTGAGGAGACCTGAAAGTGGCACATGGCAGAGTGTGGCGATGGAGACAGCAGCAATGGGAGGCCGTACAGGGACCCATGACAGACTCTCTGGACTTGGCAGCAGCATGAGGAGGCGGTATATAGGGGCCTTATGGCAGATTAGGGGCCTGGCAGCAGCTATAGGAGGCCCGTAATCTGCCAGCACCCTATGTCAAAAAATTCAAACACCCACCAGCAGTGTGAGGAGACCTGAAAGTGGCACATGGCAGAGTGTGGCGATGGAGACAGCAGCAATGGGAGGCCGTACAGGGACCCATGACAGACTCTGGAACTTGGCAGCAGCATGAGGAGGCGGTATATAGGGGCCCATGGCAGATTAGGGGCCTGGCAGCAGCTATAGGAGGCCCGTAATCTGCCAGCACCCTATGTCAAAAAATTCAACACACCAGCAGTGTGAGGAGACCTGAAAGTGGCACATGGCAGAGTGTGGCGATGGAGACAGCAGCAATGGGAGGCCGTACCCATGACAGACTCTGGACTTGGCAGCAGCATGAGGAGGCGGTATATAGGGGCCCATGGCAGATTAGGGGCCTGGCAGCAGCTATGTGAGGCCCGTAATCTGCCAGCACCCTATGTCAAAAAAATTTGAAAACACACCAGCAGTGTGAAGGAGACCTGAAAGTGGCACATGGCAGCAGAGTGTGGCGATGGAGACAGCAGCAATGGGAGGCCGTACAGGGACCCATGACAGACTCTGGACTTGGCAGCAGCATGAGGAGGCGGTATATAGGGCCCATGGCAATTAGGGGCCTGGCAGCAGCTATGTGAGGCCCGTAATCTGCCTGCACCCTATGTCAAAAAATTAAAACACACCAGCAGTGTGAAGAGACCTGAAAGTGGCACATGGCAGCAGAGTGTGGCGATGGAGACAGCAGCAATGGGAGGCCGTACAGGGACCCATGAGAGACTCTAGACTTGGCAGCAGGAGGAGGAGGCGGTATAAGGGGCCCATGGCAGATTAGGGGCCTGGCAGCAGCTATGTGAGGCCCGTAATCTGCCTGCACCCTATGTCAAAAAATTTAAACACACCAGCAGTGTGAAGAGACCTGAAAGTGGCACATGGCAGCAGAGTGTGGCGATGGAGACAGCAGCAATGGGGAGGCCGTACAGGGACCCATGAGAGACTCTGACTGAGACTTGGCAGCAGCATGAGGAGGCGGTATATAGGGGCCCATGGCAGATTAGGGGCCTGGCAGCAGCTATGTGAGGCCCGTAATCTGCCTGCACCCTATGTCAAAAAATTTAACACACCAGCAGTGTGTGAAGAGACCTGAAAGTGGCACACATGGCAGCAGAGTGTGGCGATGGAGACAGCAGCAATGGGGAGGCCGTACAGGGACCCATGAGAGACTCTGGACTTGGCAGCAGCATGAGGAGGCGGTATATAGGGGCCCATGGCAGATTAGGGGCCTGGCAGCAGCTATGTGAGGCCCGTAATCTGCCTGCACCCTATGTCAAAAAATTAAACACACCAGCAGTGTGTGAAGAGACCTGAAAGTGGCACATGGCAGCAGAGTGTGGCGATGGAGACAGCAGCAATGGGAGGCCGTACAGGGACCCATGACAGACTCTGGACTTGGCAGCAGCATGAGGAGGCGGTATATAGGGGCCCATGGCAGATTAGGGGCCTGGCAGCAGCTATGTGAGGCCCGTAATCTGCCTGCACCCTATGTCAAAAAAAAAAACACACCAGCAGTGTGTGAAGAGACCTGAAAGTGGCACATGGCAGCAGAGTGTGGCGATGGAGACAGCAGCAATGGGAGGCCGTACAGGGACCCATGACAGACTCTGGACTTGGCAGCAGCATGAGGAGGCGGTATATAGGGGCCATGGCAGATTAGGGGCCTGGCAGCAGCTATGTGAGGCCCGTAATCTGCCTGCACCCTATGTCAAAAAATTAAACACACCAGCAGTGTGAAGAGACCTGAAAGTGGCACATGGCAGCAGAGTGTGGCGATGGAGACAGCAGCAATGGGAGGCCGTACAGGGACCCATGAGAGACTCTGGACTTGGCAGCAGCATGAGGAGTGCGGTATATAGGGGCCCATGGCAGATTAGGGGCCTGGCAGCAGCTATGTGAGGCCCGTAATCTGCCTGCACCCTATGTCAAAAAATTTAAACACACCAGCAGTGTGAAGAGACCTGAAAGTGGCACATGGCAGCAGAGTGTGGCGATGGAGACAGCAGCAATGGGAGGCCGTACAGGGACCCATGAGAGACTCTGGACTTGGCAGCAGCATGAGGAGGCGGTATATAGGGGCCCATGGCAGATTAGGGGCCTGGCAGCAGCTATGTGAGGCCCGTAATCTGCCTGCACCCTATGTCAAAAAATTTAACACACCAGCAGTGTGAAGAGACCTGAAAGTGGCACATGGCATGGCAGAGTGTGGCGATGGAGACAGCAGCAATGGGAGGCCGTACAGGGACCCATGAGAGACTCTGGACTTGGCAGCAGCATGAGGAGGCGGTATATAGGGGCCCATGGCAGATTAGGGGCCTGGCAGCAGCTATGTGAGGCCCGTAATCTGCCTGCACCCTATGTCAAAAAAATTAAACACACCAGCAGTGTGAAGAGACCTGAAAGTGGCACATGGCAGCAGAGTGTGGCGATGGAGACAGCAGCAATGGGAGGCCGTACAGGGACCCATGACAGACTCTGGACTTGGCAGCAGCATGAGGAGGCGGTATATAGGGGCCCATGGCAGATTAGGGGCCTGGCAGCAGCTATGTGAGGCCCGTAATCTGCCTGCACCCTATGTCAAAAAATTAAACACACCAGCAGTGTGAAGAGACCTGAAAGTGGCACATGGCAGCAGAGTGTGGCGATGGAGACAGCAGCAATGGGAGGCCGTACAGGGACCCATGACAGACTCTGGACTTGGCAGCAGCATGAGGAGGCGGTATATAGGGGCCCATGGCAGATTAGGGGCCTGGCAGCAGCTATATGTGAGGCCCGTAATCTGCCTGCACCCTATGTCAAAAAATTTAAACACACCAGCAGTGTGAAGAGACCTGAAAGTGGCACATGGGCAGCAGAGTGTGGCGATGGAGACAGCAGCAATGGGAGGCCGTACAGGGACCCATGACAGACTCTGGACTTGGCAGCAGCATGAGGAGGCGGTATATATAGGGGCCCATGGCAGATTAGGGGCCTGGCAGCAGCTAGGATGTGAGGCCCGTAATCTGCCAGCACCCTATGTCAAAAAATTTAACACACCAGCAGTGTGAAGAGACCTGAAAGTGGCACATGCAGCAGAGTGTGTGGCGATGGAGACAGCAGCAATGGGAGGCCGTACAGGGACCCATGAGACAGACTCTGGACCTTGGCAGCAGCATGAGGAGGAGGCGGTATATAGGGGCCCATGGCAGATTAGGGGCCTGGCAGCAGCTATGTGAGGCCCGTAATCTGCCAGCACCCTATGTCAAAAAATTAAACACACCAGCAGTGTGTGAAGAGACCTGAAAGTGGCACATGGCAGCAGAGTGTGGCGATGGAGACAGCAGCAATGGGAGGCCGTACAGGGACCCATGAGAGACTCTGGACTTGGCAGCAGCATGAGGAGGCGGTATATAGGGCCCATGGCAGATTAGGGGCCTGGCAGCAGCTATGTGAGGCCCGTAATCTGCCTGCACCCTATGTCAAAAAATTAAACACACCAGCAGTGTGAAGAGAGACCTGAAAGTGGCACATGGCAGCAGAGTGTGGCGATGGAGACAGCAGCAATGGGAGGCCGTACAGGGACCCATGACAGACTCTGGACTTGGCAGCAGCATGAGGAGGCGGTATATAGGGGCCCATGGCAGATTAGGGGCCTGGCAGCAGCTATGTGAGGCCCGTAATCTGCCTGCACCCTATGTCAAAAAAATTAAACACACCAGCAGTGTGAAGAGACCTGAAAGTGGCACATGGCAGCAGAGTGTGGCGATGGAGACAGCAGCAATGGGAGGCCGTACAGGGACCCATGAGAGACTCTGGACTTGGCAGCAGCATGAGGAGGCGGTATATAGGGGCCCATGGCAGATTAGGGGCCTGGCAGCAGCTATGTGAGGCCCGTAATCTGCCTGCACCCTATGTCAAAAAAATTTAAAACACACCAGCAGTGTGAAGAGAGACCTGAAAGTGGCACATGCAGCAGAGTGTGGCGATGGAGACAGCAGCAATGGGAGGCCGTACAGGGACCCATGACAGACTCTGGACTTGGCAGCAGCATGAGGAGGCGGTATATAGGGGCCCATGGCAGATTAGGGGCCTGGCAGCAGCTATGGGAGGCCCGTAATCTGCCAGCACCCTATGTCAAAAAATTAACACACCAGCAGTGTGAAGAGACCTGAAAGTGGCACATGGCAGCAGAGTGTGGCGATGGAGACAGCAGCAATGGGAGGCCGTACAGGGACCCATGAGAGACTCTGGACTTGGCAGCAGCATGAGGAGGCGGTATATAGGGGCCCATGGCAGATTAGGGGCCTGGCAGCAGCTATGTGAGGCCCGTAATCTGCCAGCACCCTATGTCAAAAAATTTAACACACCAGCAGTGTGAAGAGACCTGAAAGTGGTGGCAGCAGAGTGGCGATGGAGACAGCACAATGGGAGGCCGTACAGGGACCCTGAGAGACTCTGGACTTGGCAGCAGCATGAGGAGGCGGTATAGGGGCCCATGGCTGATTAGGGGCCTGGCAGCAGCTATGTGAGGCCCGTTATCTTGCAGCACCCTATGTCAAAAAAATTTAACACACCAGCAGTGTGAAGAGACCTGAAAGTGGCACATGGCAGCAGAGTGTGGCGATGGAGACAGCAGCAATGGGAGGCCGTACAGGGACCCATGAGAGACTCTGGACCTGGCAGCAGCATGAGGAGTGGTATATAGGGGCCCATGGCAGATTAGGGGCCTGGCATCTGCCTGCACCCTATGTCAAAAAATTTAACACACCAGCAGTGTGAAGAGACCTGAAAGTGGCACATGGCAGCAGAGTGTGGCGATGGAGACAGCAGCAATGGGAGGCCGTACAGGGACCCATGAGAGACTCTGGACCTGGCAGCAGCAGGAGGAGGTGGTATATAGGGGCCTATGGCAGATTAGGGGCCTGGCAGCAGCTATAGGAGGCCCGTAATTTCAGGGCAAATTCAGATCTAGTTGGGGCCAAAGGTCTAGTTTCGTTGCCCAGTAGTCAAGGGGATTGTCTACCTCGGTTGGCAGGGTGCTGTCCAATTAGCCCAAGCCTGTTGTTTGAGCTCCTGTTGGCTCCAGTCGCACCTGATAGCTGCTGCGCTTGCTGCTGCGGCTGGTTAGTATTTCCTCACTGCGCTGGTGAAGAAAGCTACTCATCATCCGACTAGACAGACTTAGGCAGCCGCGGCGGTGAGCTGCCACTGCCTCCTACCACCCCACCCCGTCCCCTTGCTGCCATGCCATCCGGAACGCAAGCGCCACAGGCCCACAGTGTCTGAGGATGGACGATGGCGCACAAACAGAGACCAACTGACTACATAGTGGTTTTTATAGTACGTAAATTTTGGCCTCCCTCTCAGCAGGTGTGAAAAGGCCACCATTTTTGACCGGAAGAGGTCCAACAAGGTGGACACCAAAAGTCATCCCTCTGTCTGATGGTTTATTATTGGACTGTCGCTACCAAGCAACCCGAGCATTGCTATGGGGTATCCACTTTGTGCCAAGGAATGAGCGAGGGACTCCCTGCCTCCATCTCACAGCATACAGCCCACGGTGCGTCTGGTCCTCTTCTCCTCCCTCCTCCTCCTCTACCACCTGCTCCGTGCTCCTCACCACTCCTGGGTCCGCTGATGTAAAAACCACCCATTTTCACTCAATAATACCCTGAGCACAAATTCCTCCTCTTCCTCCTCCTCCTTCTTCCTGTCCCTGCCCCCACAGGTCAATGTGCGTTGAGATCTGTTGCGCCTACGGTCTACCGCACCCTGACCAGCCCATTTTAACAGCATTTGTTCCAACGTGCAACAGAGGAAGGGCGGCGTTCATAGCCCGTTTATATCCTTTTATATATATATATATATATATGGCGTGGTCTTGGTATATTTATATATATTATATCTAGGGGGGATATATATATATAATATATAATTTATATATTATGGGTATATTTTTGACTTTGGGGGGTTTTTGTTTTGTAAACAAGGCCTCCACCACGTCTGTTGCATTAGTTGCCCGCACGCTTTAGCCGACATGCTCTGGGGCCACCGTTGACCCAATGGCTGTACTTCGTAGTGGAATCAGAACCGTTAGCCGCGGGATCATCAGCCAATCGGTGAGCGGCCTTTCGCTCTACTTTCCTGACCTTGCTAGGTGGTAGGGGTATCTCACCTTTGGCAACGTCGCAATCAGCGATCGGGGGAATTCCGTGCTGCCCTGCAGCTCAATGAGGGGTGCGGTGTAGGGAAAGACTGAAATGCAAAGCACAGTTTACGGACAATTTAAAGGGTGTCTTTCAGTGGGAGGTGGATTTTAGGGAAACCCCCCGAAAAACCAATTGGGAAAACGGATCCATGCATGGGGGCAAAGGCACAACCTTCCTTGACCAGAGCAACACCATGTTTTTTTCCGTTTTCAGTCAACTGGGTTTCCCATTTTTAGTTTGCCCCGGAACCCGCCCATCTGCGATTTCCCCTGGGTTCCCTTACACTCAAACAGTTCCTCCCTTTTTGCCAAAGTTTTGCCAAGGCATACCAGGTTCACAAAAAAAACGGACACCCTTTCGCCCCGCACATTTTATATCCCCGGGCGGGGAATGGGACTTTTGGGACGGGGGGGGCGGCTGAGGACACGGGGGAAAAAGAGGTGGTAAGGGGGGACAAAGCTTCTGGACCAAGAAAAGTGCAAACGGGGAGGCAAAAGCGTCGTGACCGCCCAAGTTTTCTTTGGGGCGGGTTGGGCCCCACCCCCCGTTCACCCAGGGGCCCCTAAAAGACATTACTGTCCCGACCGTAT